CTGCTACTGGTCAAATGCAATATGCGTCCACCAATTCTCCTCAAAATTCTGATTCTGAGAGAGAGTTAGAAGCTGGGTTTCTTACCACTGGTGCACACATTAGACAAAGTACCGGGAGTGGTTCAAAGGCTTTTAGTGAGGGACATGAAGGAACCAGTACCAAGCGTTGTGCTCTTTTCCCTCCAAGTGATCTTTCCTCAAAGTCAAAGTCATCCAAGTCAAACAAAATGGACGAAGCTATTGCAGCTTGGGCAAAGTCACTTGATGCCAAGACTGAGGCTACATTAGAAAAGGTTAAGCGTAAAAGAGAGAAGGAAGTATCCTCCCCATTGAGAGAGTTAAGTACCATTGAAGATTGTGTGGAAGTACTTGAGGGCATGGAAGATGTTGATGATACCGCTTATTTGAAAGCTTTGGAGAAGTTCACTAGCTCGGATTGGAGGAGGATGTTTATGAAGATGTCTGAGTCGAGGAAAAAATTATGGCTCAATAGTCTAAAATGAATAGTTAGAGCCCTAGTAAGAAAGCTCAATAGTCCAAGTTGGTTGTTAGTTAGTGTGTTGGTAATACGATGAATTTGCTTAGAATTAATGATAAGGGTTAGTAAGATGACTATGGATATGCTTTTGTGTTTGGTATTAAGATCTTTTGCTTTATGATGAACTATAATTAAATGAGTATGGAAATGACTACTGTTGGTAATATGATTAATGTTATGTTATTATTCTATAATATTGTCTTGTCACTTTGTTTAGCTATTAATTACTTGATAGTTGTAAAATATAATTATTTGTTTGTCTATATAGGATGGATTCAAATGAAGTGGACAACAATGGTTCAAGTTCAGAAAGTGACTCATCATCTTATTTGGATGATTCACTTGGAGAGTTGCTTTTAGTTACAAGATTATATGACCATTACTCACGTTTAAATAAAGAGTCATGCATGACTTCACATTTTTCAGGCCGCCAATATGTGATAGAATTATTGAATGGACATCCACATAGGTTATTTAATATTGTAAGGATGGATAAAAACACGTTCAGAAATTTGTGCTCGACATTGAAAGAATTAAACTTTCTACAAGATGATAGATCAGTTTGTGTGGAGGAGGCCGTATGCATGTTCTTGTTTACTATCAGTCATACAATCCGCAATAGGGTAATTGCTGAAAGTTTTCAACATTCTAAAGAGACTGTGTCAAGACAATTTAATCGAGTTCTCAAAGCAATATGTCGACTTGGTACTCGTATAATTCAACCTCCAAATATGGATACGACACCTTCTGAGATTTTGGGAAATCCGAAGTACGACCCATGGTTTCAGGTAACATATTTATAAAGTACATTTTATTATTTAGTTAGATCATGACTATTATTTTCTACAAAACCTAGAAAGATACATGTTTAAAGCTCTAGAATAACAACTTAGGTTGAAGTAAACTATATTTTGTGTACTAACATGTTATGATTTGAACTATAAAATGGTAGAATTGCATTGGTGCTATTGATGGAACACATATCAGTGCATGGGCTCCTTCATCAAAACAAATTTCATACCGAGGTAGAAAAGTTAGTGTGACACAAAATATTATGTTGGCGTGTTCATTTAACATGATGTTCACATATGTCTACACCGGATGGGAAGGAACGGCTAATGACTCGAGAGTGTTGATGGATGCAATAACAAGAGAAGAGAATAGGTTTCCAATGCCTCAAGAAGGTACGAAGTCATTGAAACGTATCAAATTACTTGTAATTTTTTTCTTATTGTATTTGGCTCAAGTGAAATACTTATATGCATTGTTATTGGAATAGGAAAATATTATGTTGTTGATTCCGGCTATGCCAACATGAGTGGGTTTCTCGCACCATATCGCAAAGTGCGTTATCACTTGCGTGATTTTAGAGGAAGAGGTAAACGTCCAAGAGGAGCAATGGAATTGTTCAACTTTAGGCACTCATCACTACGTAATGTTGTTGAACGATGCATTGGAGTGCTTAATAATCGTTTTCCTATTCTAAAGTTGATGCCAAATTATCCAATTAGGAAGCAAAGACGCATTCTTGTTGCATGTTGTGCCGTGCACAATTTCATTAGAATGAAATCAAGGAATGATACTTTGTTTCAACAATTTGAAGATAATGATGTTGATGTGGTAGATGAAGAAAGCTCGGGGGCGAATCAAGAAGGGGAAAATATGCATTTGAATGACGACAATGTTATGAATGATGTTAGAGACCACATAGCCGGATCAATGTGGCTTGATTATGTCAATAACAATTAGTCTCAAAGTTTATTGGTTTTCTAGAATGTTTTAACGTAATATTTATTGTCTAAGACTTGAAGTTTAATTTGATTATCGAGCATATATTTGTTGTATTAGCACATGGATATCAAAATGTTATGTTTAAGTTTTAATTTCATATGTTTTGTATATCTTAAAACAAATACATAATTGAAAAAAATAAAAAACCTGTTTTCAAGAGTTAAACCAAACAAGTTTTTAAATTTTTAGATTCAAAAAATAATTTTTAAGTTCAATGCCAAACACATTTTTGAAACCTTAAAAAAACTGTTTTTAAGAGATGTTTTTAAAAGTTAGTTTTAAGAACAATTCAAGTTTTTGAGTAGGATACCAAACAGGCCCTTAAGTTTTTGATAAACACTTCAAATCATTTTTTTTTTAAAGTTAATGATGAAAAAAAAAAACTGAAAACCCAAAGCTGGGAAAGCATCTTAAAAAACAGCTTATTCCAAGGTTGAACAGAAACAAATAAATGAACTTATGTAGGTAAAATAATAAATAAATGAACTTTTCAAATCTCTAATTCTGCCCTTCTTTCTCTCTATCATCAGTCTCTCTTCATCCGCCGCTGCCAACCTAGGCAGAGCAGAAAGCGACGCCGCCTCCAATCTCTAGCCTCCCCCTCTCAGCCGTCAGCCATAAACTCCAGGTTTAGTGCCTCTCTCTCCTCTGTCTATCCTTGTCTACCATGGCTGCAATTGCCTAGGGTTTTCGTTTACTCTCTCAATCTTAAATCCTTCCAGGGTTTTTGTTTACTATCTTAAAATTAAGCCCTTCTAGATTTCAATATTCGTGAAGGAATTTAAAAAATAATAACCGAATTTTAGTTTTAAATTTATTGCCTAGCTGAACAGTTTCTGTGCTACTATCTTCTCCAATTGAAGTTCTTGCCTGTGTAATTTCAACTTAATTTTCGTGTAAAGAAGAAACACAGAAAGCTGAATTTTTGTTTTAGATTAACTTTTTTTTTTAGAATGTCTGGAGGAAACATGTTCATAGTTGTTGATTATCTAAATTGATTACTTCTTGATTAATTTTTTTTAGATTAATTTTCTTGTTTGTCATTATCTAAATTGCTCTGTGCACTACTCTGAATTGCTCATTTCCTGAAAACGAAATAGAATTGATAGTTCTATTTGTTGGATCAATATTTTGGTGGACTTTATCAACTTTTGTAAAAGCATCAATAAAATGTCAAATATTAACATAATATATAGGGGATATGTGGCATTTCATAGATGGTCCAAAACATTGTTCTAGTGATGGTCGTAATTCTTTTCAATAGCTCTCCATGTCATTAGATTCATACAATCACATCATGCACGACTTTTAAAAACATCACTAGAACAATGTTATGTGATTGTATGAATCTAATGACATGGAGAGCTATTGAAAAGAATTACGACCATCACTAGAACAATGTTTTGAACCATCTATGAAATGCCACATATCCTCTATATATTATGTTAATATTTGACATTTTATTGATGCTTTTACAAAAGTTGATAAAGTCCACCAAAATATTGATCCAACAAATAGAACTATCAATTCTATTTCGTTTTCAGGAAATGAGCAATTCAGAGCAGTGCACAGAGCAATTTAGATAATGACAAACAAGAAAATTAATCTAAAAAAAATTAATCAAGAAGTAATCAATTTAGATAATCAACAACTATGAACATGTTTCCTCCAGACATTCTAAAAAAAAAAGTTAATCTAAAACAAAAATTCAGCTTTCTATGTTTCTTCTTTACACGAAAATTAAGTTGAAATTACACAGGCAAGAACTTTAATTGGAGAAGATAGTAGCACATAAACTGTTCAGCTAGGCAATAAATTTAAAACTAAAATTCGGTTATTATTTTTTAAATTCCTTCACGAATATTGAAATCTAGAAGGGCTTAATTTTAAGATAGTAAACAAAAACCCTGGAAGGATTTAAGATTGAGAGAGTAAACGAAAACCCTAGGCAATTGCAGCCATGGTAGACAGGGATAGACAGAGGAGAGAGAAGCACTAAACCTGGAGTTTATGGCTGACGGCTGAGAGGGGGAGGCTAGAGATTGGAGGCGGCGTCGCTTTCTGCTCTGCCTAGGTTGGCAGCGGCGGATGAAGAGAGACTGATGATAGAGAGAAAGAAGGGCAGAATTAGAAATTTGAAAAGTTCATTTATTTATTATTTTACCTACATAAGTTCATTTATTTGTTTCTGTTCAACCCTGGAATAAGCTGTTTTTTTAAGATGCTTTCCCAGCTTTGGGTTTTCAGTTTTTTTTTTTTCATCATTAACTTTAAAAAAAAATTGATTTGAAGTGTTTATAAAAAACTTAAGGGCCTGTTTGGTATCCTACTCAAAAACTTGAATTGTTCTTAAAACTAACTTTTAAAAACATCTCTTAAAAACAGTTTTTTTTAAGGTTTCAAAAATGTATTTGGCATTGAACTTAAAAACTATTTTTGAATCTAAAAATTTAAAAACTTGTTTGGTTTAACTCTTGAAAACAGGTTTTTTTTTTTTCAATTATGTATTTGTTTTAAGATATACAAAACATAAGAAATTAAAACTTAAACATAACATTTTGATATCCATGTGCTAATACAACAAATATATGCTCGATAATCAAATTAAACTTCAAGTCTTAGACAATAAATATTACGTTAAAACATTCTAGAAAACCAATAAATTTTGAGACTAATTGTTATTGACATAATCAAGCCACATTGATCCGGCTATGTGGTCTCTAACATCATTCATAACATTGTCGTCATTCAAATGCATATTTTCCCCTTCTTGATTCGCCCACGAGCTTTCTTCATCTACCACATCAACATCATTATCTTCAAATTGTTGAAACAAAGTATCATTCCTTGATTGCATTCTAATGAAATTGTGCACGGCACAACATGCAACATGAATGCGTCTTTGCTTCCTAATTGGATAATTTGGCATCAACTTTAGAATAGGAAAACGATTCTTAAGCACTCCAATGCATCGTTCAACAACATTACGTAGTGATGAGTGCCTAAAGTTGAACAATTCTATTGCTCCTCTTGGACGTTTACCTCTTCCTCTAAAATCACGCAAGTGATAACGCACTTTGCGATATGGTGCGAGAAACCCACTCATGTTGGCATAGCCGGAATCAACAACATAATATTTTCCTATTCCAATAACAATGCATATAAGTATTTCACTTGAGCCAAATACAATAAGAAAAAAATTACAAGTAATTTGATACGTTTCAATGACTTCGTACCTTCTTGAGGCATTGGAAACCTATTCTCTTCTCTTGTTATTGCATCCATCAACACTCTCGAGTCATTAGCCGTTCCTTCCCATCCGGTGTAGACATATGTGAACATCATGTTAAATGAACACGCCAACATAATATTTTGTGTCACACTAACTTTTCTACCTCGGTATGAAATTTGTTTTGATGAAGGAGCCCATGCACTGATATGTGTTCCATCAATAGCACCAATGCAATTCTACCATTTTATAGTTCAAATCATAACATGTTAGTACACAAAATATAGTTTACTTCAACCTAAGTTGTTATTCTAGAGCTTTAAACATATATCTTTCTAGGTTTTGTAGAAAAATAATAGTCATGATCTAACTAAATAATAAAATGTACTTTATAAATATGTTACCTGAAACCATGGGTCGTACTTCGGATTTCCCAAAATCTCAGAAGGTGTCTTATCCATATTTGGAGGTTGAATTATACGAGTACCAAGTCGACATATTGCTTTGAGAACTCGATTAAATTGTCTTGACACAGTCTCTTTAGAATGTTGAAAAGTTTCAACAATTACCCTATTGCAGATTGTATGACTGATAGTAAACAAGAACATGCATACGGCCTCCTCCACACAAACTGATCTATCATCTTGTAGAAAGTTTAATTCTTTCAATGTCGAGCACAAATTTCTGAACGTGTTTTTATCCATCCTTACAATATCAAATAACCTATGTGGATGTCCATTCAATAATTCTATCACATATTGGCGGCCTGAAAAATGTGAAGTCATGCATGGCTCTTTATTTAAACGTGAGTAATGGTCATATAATCTTGTAACTAAAAGCAACTCTCCAAGTGAATCATCCAAATCAGATTATGAGTCACTTTCTGAACTTGAACCATTGTTGTCCACTTCATTTGAATCCATCCTATATAGACAAACAAATAATTATATTTTACAACTATCAAGTAATTAATAGCTAAACAAAGTGACAAGACAATATTATAGAATAATAACATAACATTAATCATATTACCAACACTAGTCATTTCCATACTCATTTAATTATAGTTCATCATAAAGCAAAAGATCTTAATACCAAACACAAAAGCATATCCATAGTCATCTTACTAACCCTTATCATTAATTCTAAGCAAATTCATCGTATTACCAACACCCTAACTAACAACCAACTTGGACTATTGAGCTTTCTTACTAGGGCTCTAACTATTCATTTTAGACTATTGAGCCATAATTTTTTCCTCGACTCAGACATCTTCATAAACATCCTCCTCCAATCCGAGCTAGTGAACTTCTCCAAAGCTTTCAAATAAGCGGTATCATCAACATCTTCCATGCCCTCAAGTACTTCCATACAATCTTCAATGGTACTTAACTCTCTCAATGGGGAGGATACTTCCTTCTCTCTTTTACGCTTAACCTTTTCTAATGTAGCCTCAGTCTTGGCATCAAGTGACTTTGCCCAAGCTGCAATAGCTTCGTCCATTTTGTTTGACTTGGATGACTTTGACTTTGAGGAAATATCACTTGGAGGGAAAAGAGCACAACGCTTGGTACTGGTTCCTTCATGTCCCTCACTAAAAGCCTTTGAACCACTCCCGGTACTTTGTCTAATGTGTGCACCAGTGGTAAGAAACCCAGCTTCTAACTCTCTCTCAGAATCAGAATTTGGAGGAGAATTGGTGGACGCATATTGCATTTGACCAGTAGCAGTGGTATTATTGAAAATCTGTCCAAGCACCTCATAATGAGAACACCCCTTGCTACGGAAACGGCTAGCAAACTTGTTTTTCTGTAAAATTTTAATATAGGTTGTCCACACTTAGAAAATAATATTATATAATGCATATCTATAAAGAAAATACATTATATAATACAATAAATACCTTAATATAAGCTGACCAAACTTCGTCCGATGCTTGAACAGTGTTTGCAACAGGGTCCCAACCCATCCCAGTATGATTAACAAGCTTGGCAAACTCACGATGAATCTTCCGCAACCGATTATATTTTTGCTTCAATTTTTCACGAGTGTATCTCTTACCATATTTGTCAAACAACTTCATATCAATCGCATCCCACTGGTTCTTTTCTAAAGTGTTGGTTTGCAAGCCTTTTTTTGTCTCTTCATACAACAGACTAATAAAGTAGTCTTCAATAGGTTTTGGCCAATTAGCTTTATCATCAAGGTCATTTTCAAAGTCCTTGTTTGACATCTCTCAGACACGTACTAGAATAATGTAAATAGAAACATCGAAAATTAATACAAAGTTAAAAGCTACATTCACTTACGAATGCTAATGCTAAAGTATAATATTAAAACTTAAGGTATGAATGTACAAAAAACACAAAAAACAACAGAAAACTACACATGAACAAGACAAAGGTTTAACAATAACTGACAACGTATATATTTGGTGTAAAACAGAGACTCAGTTAATTTGGTGATGGTATGAGACTTCATTCAATTGTCTTGACTATTAGGACAGCAGCAAAGAAACAGGATATTCACAAAGGCTCCTATCGAAGTAATTGTTCCTAGTTGTCTCATATTCACAAAGCTTTCTGGTGTTTGAACTGTCCAACTAAAACCTTTATTTTTCCTCTTTGTTGTGGTTTGGGTTGGGGGATGGTGTTTGTCTAAGCATTTAAAAGGTGCTTGATATCCGATGGTTGATATGATATGTGAAATTATTTTGGAGTTCAAATTGGTAGGCTTGAGGATCGATAAGGAAGCCATGTTCCGAAGGTAACTTCAAAAATTGTCACGAAACTACATGCTTGATATCAAATACATTTTTGGTTTATAATGCTTTGGTATTATTTGTTCTACTTCTTCTGTGGATGGAAGCAAATTATCTTAAACTGTATAACTACAATCTTCCTCGACTAACAGGGAATTCTATTTCCTTATCGAGTTGTGGTATTATTTCTTTCAAATATATGGCACCGCTCAACCAGTCTACGTTTCAATTAGTTGTCATCAATATAAGCCAACCAAATAATTTTCATGATAAGGAATGCAAGGACAACTACAATCTAAAGCCAGAATTTCTAAGCAGACTTTCCACGTTACATTCACACACAACTATCAAATCTTTAATGCGAGACCAGCCACATGAGGGTAGATGAACACAATTAGAAAGAAACATGGTAGAAAAGATATCACTTTCTGATATTTTCTAACAGAACTTGCTACTAACTCAAAGAGTGACAGTAAGTAATCAAACTTCAGGTCACAGGGATCAACTACCAAAGGCTATGGACGCTCTATCAGAAATTAAAGGGCAAATAGGATTGTTTCCAAACAACATAACATACTAAATTTAGGTGGCAATTATGACTGAAATATTTCATATTAGAGAAAACAGTATGAGGCAGCTCCACCTCAAGGGACTTAGGCAAAGTTGAAATAGATTCAACCTCACATAACCACAACACAACACAAGAAGCACCACATGATTATACGTTACATCCGAAACCAGTCATCGAACCTTAAGTAACATCTCATTCAACCCAAAATCAGTTAGACTTTACACCAAATTCAGTCCACAAAAATGACAGTATGACTGAAATATCCCAAATCGGAGAAAACCCACATCACAACAAATTCAGTTCACAAATCAATCCTCATGGGCACATCAGAAAACATAAATAGAGTTTTCAGATTAATTACCAAGCTATGAGCTCGATCGAGCTCAGTTAGGTTAATATATACACACAGTACACAAATAAATCATACCAATAGATATATAAACTCAATTTCTCACAACCCAACAAACAAAACACATAAATCAACTTTCCCATCATTTCCTCCATTTTCCAAGGAACCAAACAAAATAGTAAGAGACAGACCCATTACCTTGATCGTTTCTTGCAGAGAAAAGAATGGCCCAATTTCGTCCCCAATCAAGCACTCAGAGATTCGAGGCTTAAAGCTATTCACCAGAACCTTCACCTTATTGGCCGGAATCTCTTGGTCGTTCGTCGTAGGTGAGGCGCAAGGCGTGGTCTGCGGCGCAGGTCTCTCAGACCTCCATCGCGAGTTGCAACGCAGGGATACGAATTTGTGAAAGAAAAAAAACCCTAAAACCTGACTTTTGTTGTTTTCAAATTATAATGGGCTGTTTTTAAAATTTTTTTTAGTCCAGTTTTGCAAAATGGGCTTACCAAACAAGTTTTTTTTACCTTAAAACTTAAAAATTGTTTTTGAGTTAAAAACTTTGGACTCAAATCCAATACCAAACAGGCCCTGAATTTTTGTTTTAGATTAACTTTTTTTTTTAGAATGTCTGGAGGAAACATGTTCATAGTTGTTGATTATCTAAATTGATTACTTCTTGATTAATTTTTTTTAGATTAATTTTCTTGTTTGTCATTATCTAAATTGCTCTGTGCACTGCTCTGAATTGCTCATTTCCTGAAAACGAAATAGAATTGATAGTTCTATTTGTTGGATCAATATTTTGGTGGACTTTATCAACTTTTGTAAAAGCATCAATAAAATGTCAAATATTAACATAATATATAGAGGATATGTGGCATTTCATAGATGGTCCAAAACATTGTTCTAGTGATGGTCGTAATTCTTTTCAATAGCTCTCCATGTCATTAGATTCATACAATCACATCATGCACGACTTTGGCACATTCTCAAATTTCATACAACCACCATGTGGCCTTAAGCAAATGCTCATCTCTTTTTTTTTCTGCTTCTAGAGCAAGTAATAATCTAAGAACAGCCTAGCTCTGTTCGTGCTGAGTGATTTTCGTTTCAAAATAACTTTTTATAAGAGGTTTTCATTTTAAAATAGTTATGGCAAGCGATTAGTAAAAAAGTGAGCTTGACAATGTCAAGGCCTAAGTGCAAGTAAACAACCATTCATGGACAGATTAAGAAAGATATATATATCTGTTTGTGGAGTTATGCTTCTGATTTGTCTTAGGGTTTGTGGGGTTTGTAGGGACTGTTTTATGATTTCATCCCCTGCCAATGCCTCCCCTTCTATATTTGATTAATTTTTTCTTGGTTGTGTTACAATATCATTTGTTCTTGTTTTATTATATATATGTATATATGCAAATCACTAGTTTGTATATATACAAATCACTAGTTGGTATCGATGGCAAAGAAGGGGGCGTCTTCTTCAATATCATTTGTTCTTGTTTTTTGGGAGATAGCCTTATATTCTTATATTTCAATTTTATATTTGAGTTTTTGCACTGGAGGAGAAAACATTGGACTCAAATCTCACATTTTGACTTTTACAATTGGGCTACTATTTACTCTAAATAGTACTTGCCTTTTTACAACTCCACCTGTTAGGTAAGGGCAATGGGAAGGGTGATACTATTCACAATTTTTATAATTTTATTTTATTTTTATGCTTTGTAAGTTTGTTCTTTGAAAATAAAATGATCGTCTAATTTCAATAAGATGTTGAGTATTTATAGAATAATAAAATGGTTGGGTGTTTATAGAATAATAAAATGTGGGGAATGGTTGGGTATTTATAAAAAAAATCCTATTTTTCCCTATGTTTTGTAATTTTTATTGCTGGGTTAATCCTTGCACTTGATTTTCAAACTCATTTAAAATCAAACGCACTAGAACTTGTCGTATGTCACAATGGTATTTCTTTTATACCGTTGGAAATCCAACAGCCTGAGATGTGCCACGTCAGAGTCGTTGGGCTCTTTTGTTGCAACAGGGCTCACTGCTACAGTTTATATCGGCTCACTATCCCTTTTGCGTGTGCAATGCACGCGTCATGCACATAAAAAAATCAAAGACCGTGGCTGACCTCTTGTTGACATTAACCTTGCTATCTGACGTCATGTTGACGTTAGCCTTGCTAGTTGACGCAAGATTGGGCCGGTATAAGTAACGTTAGCCAGTTGATGCAAGGCGCAAAGCTGGGCTTATCTTGCTCGGTCTTTTGAGCGAGCATTGCATGGCCCACTACTTGCCCTCTTCCATTTTGGCTGCTGAAGTTGTTTTTGTGTTGAAGGACATGTATGTTTCAAGCACTTGTCCTTGGCATCCCTTGATGGTGGGCGGATTTGCTAAATACCTACTACTAGCCCAGCCCATACCCAAAAAAAAAATAAAAAATCCTCCAGTGCTTCCTAGTACTCTGACTACTCTTTGCTCGGCACCTCAATCACTTCACTCAACTCGACCAAGAAGGAGTAGGAGCGTCTTCTGCGTCCAACTCTCCCTCCTTCCCTCTCCGACTCCTCCACCGTGACTCCTATCATTGATTGAACATCTTCACTTGTTCTTTTACTTGAGATGCCCTCAGAACTGAAACCCCCAAATCGAAACCAGGCTGCCTCTTGTTTTGGTCCGCCTTCATTGTTTGGATTTGGATTTTTCAGCGGGTATTCTCTCTCTCTCTCTCTCTCTCTCTCTCTCTCTCAACAATACCTAATACCTGGCCATGGAATTCTGTTATGCTCAAGCAATTTTCGCTGTTGAGTTGCTTTTGAGTAATTTATATCTTTCCACTGCACTTGTTTATATCTTGGTCTTGGAATAATATTGTGTGCGTATTTTACTATGAATATTGTGAATAATTGATTATTCAATCGAATGGGAAATCAATTGATGAATCATAGCGTAGTATCACACGTTGAGAAACACAATTGGTATTTGATAATGCAGATTTATGCAATGGAATGAAAAACATTATCAATTTAGATTTTTATTCAGTGTGAGTACCGAGTGTAGTGGTATTATAAGATTCATACAGCCGACCTCATTTAGTGGGATAAGGCTTTGTTGTTGTTGTATTCAGTACGAGATTAACACTTTTTAATGTTATTATTGCCCAAAAAACTATTTCTAGCTCTAGCTGGTGGACTTTTTAGTTTGCGGGACTTGTCATCACAGCCGATATATGTTTAGGTTCCTTATTATAAAATTGTTGCCTAAAGCTAAAAGTTTCCCCTACACATTTGTGAATAAATTGGAGGGGAAGTGGTTTCATTGATGATTGCTGCTTTATTACCATTACCATTTTGTATCTTCACTGATGTGGGTTTTAAGGGGAACAAAGCTTCAAGATTGACATGTTTTAGTAACAGTCTTATACAATATTTGGTTTTTTACTGATAAGAAATAGGAGTGTAAGTTAACACATTGTATTTGGACATATTGCAGGCTTGGTTTTCTCTTGGGAAGTCAGTATGTTTGATGTGAATGATGGTTTCTGGATTATCGACTAGGTTGTTGAACATATGCATAGCTTCGTTTTGTAAGTCCCGGCTACTGGAGAGAGCAGAAGCCGTTATAATTGATGGCATAAGATTGGGGGTGATTCCAGATGTGGTAACTTACAATACTTTGCTCAATGCCTATTCTCGGTTTGTTAGCTTGGATTCAGCTTATTCTGTTGTTCATAGAATGAAAGAGGCTGGGATTAGTCCAGATGTCATTACATACAATTCTTTGTTATCTGGGGCCACCAGGAATTGCCTATTATCACAATCTCTGGATCTGTTTGAGGAAATGTTACAAGCGGGCATACATCCTAATGTATGGAGTTACAATATTCTGATGCATTGTTTCTTTAAGTTAGGAAAACCTGATGAAGCCAACAGAGTTTTTCAGGATATTTTACTTCGCAATCTCACTCCCCACCCAGCTACGTTTAACATAATGATTAATGGCCTTTGTAAAAATGAATACATTGATAATGCCCTTATGTTATTTAGGAATTTGCAACGTCATGGATTTGTTCCCCGATTAGTGACGTACAATATTCTTATCCACGGGCTATGCAAGGCACGCAGATTGGGGCAAGCAAGAAAAATGCTAAAGGAACTGGGGGAATCAGGTTATGAGCCAAATGCCATAACCTACACTACAGTTATGAAATGCTGCTTTAAGTTTAAGCAGTATGACGAAGCGCTCGAGATTATGTCAGAGATGAAGAGTAAAGGGTATACTTTTGATGGCTTTGCAAACTGCACAGTTGTTGCTGCTTTAGTTAAGACTGGGAGGATAGAAGAGGCAAATGCTTGCATGGAACAGACAATGAGAAATGGCATTGAACTTGATTTAGCGGCTTATAACACTTTACTTAATATGTATTGTAGAGAAGGTAAGTTTGAAGCTGCCTATAAGTTGATGGATGAAATAGAGAATGGAGGTCTGCGGTGTGACAAGTATACCCACACAATTATAATTGATGGATTGTGCAAGGCTGGTAATATTATCGGGGCTGAACAACATTTACAATATATGAAAATGATTGGCTTCCGTGAAAACTTGGTTGCCTTCAACTGCATGATTGATGGCTTGTGTAAAGCTGGTCAAATCGATCGTGCAATGGACTTGTATAAATCAATGGAGACTAAAGATTCCTTTACCTACACCTCTTTGGTGCACAATCTTTGCAAGGCTGGAAGGTTCCGTTGTGCGTCCAAGCTTATGATGAAATGTTTAAGAGATGGCAAGAAAATACTCAAGGCTACCCAACGAGCTGTCCTTGATGGTCTTCATAGTACGGGGTATACAGATGAAGCAAGGAAGCTTCGGTGGAAAATTCAAGTGGCTAGAATATTACGTTAAAAACTGGCCGTGCTTTTGCTGCTGAAAATTAGTTTCATCATATTTGCATTCGCATTTTGGACAGCACCATTTAAAATCCCTCTTTTAGTCATATTCCGTAAACATAAGTTGTTTTGGGTGGTAAGCTTGTTCTACCCAGCACTGATTGTTAATGGTGAAGAGTAATATGGAATCTGAATGTAAGGCGACTAACTACCCTGCCACTGCCTTGCATTGCTAATCTGACAGTGGTTCTGCCGGTGTGCATAACAGAAAGACACTACTTGTAGCAAATACACTACTTCCCATATTCATGTATGACTGGAAACATTTCTCAAATTCATCTGTCAGTCATGCTGGTTCTTCACTTGATGGACCCACTGTGAGTTTCTGTTCTTATTCCAACTGATTTAATAGATCTTCTTTGAGTTGTTAAATAAACTAATGCTCTTCAAAAGTTACTGAAAGAACACCAGCACTTTTTATATATTAATTTTCATTTTTAACTTCTTTTGGAAACAAATTATGAAATATGTGTTACTTTTGGCAGGGTAACCGGTTAGCATTATTGAGAGCAGTTTATTTAGAACTCAGGACAACTACTAACTACTCCTGAGAGGTAAACTTGTGTATTACAGCCTACTTTTCGTGTAAGTGATTTTTGACCTCAAATTTTGATAATTTGGTTTCTTAGATACATTTAATGGTTGTACGACAGAGGAATAAGAGAGCTTTGATTCTCAGACAGAGAAAAAGGATGGTTTACTATACAATGTATGCATCCAAAAGTTAAGAATTGCAAACTCTTGCATGTTTTATAAAAGAACAATTCTGAGGGAACCCTTGATTCTCTTTCATATTTGTTGGTCTATTTCTTAACCTGTAACAGCAATGATGTTTTACAATTCTTCAAGGTCTGAGATATTATATTTTAAATAATATACTTTGTAAGCAAAGTACTCCAAATTTTTACTATAAAAGGTTGATTGTTTACTTTTGTTTATATATGTCTTCCTATATCTTTACATTCTTAATATGCTGATAAAGAAATGTTAGATCAATATTTGATTTTGTTCCTTTCATTTTAAAGGAGTTTTTATGATTGAGAGGCCTCATTTATTTCGTGCTTCTGTGTGCGTGCTTATAACTTGGGTCAGAACTCAGAAGGAGATGCATTGACAAAATAAATAGTTTTCAAAGAGCATGGGATAGAAACTAAGATGTATCATAATGTGCGCGGAGGTCCGGATTTTAAGCTCAGCAATTCAATTCACGTATGTCATTATGCAGATGTAGTGGTCTAAACCAAACCAAGGTGACAGAGTAAGTAAAAGAAGGAAAGAAAAAGACAGAAATATGAATTGCTGGTTTACTTCATATTACTGTATTTTATGTCTTTAAAAATATTGCCTGTAGCTCCAAAGAGGATGTTTACTCGTTCGGCATAAAGGGTTTCTTTCCTTGATATCCTGGATCTGTTTAGGTGATCTAGTTTACTGAAATTAAATTCCCAAAATTTCAGTCTAGCGAATAAGAATATTAGATAACTGCATAAAACATCTGTCCTGGTCCTAAATAAAATTTTGTATATGACTGCACAAACAGCAATTCGAGAAAGGCTCATACTCTATCAGAATAAAGCTGTTTGAATTATTCGAACAATAAACAAAAATCATACAAAAATATAGGGGAAAGATTGAAATGTATCGAGAAGAGATAACAGAGCTGGTTTTATGAGCTGGGACAGCGAAACAAAAAACCAGCTGCTCAACTTCTTTGGGCTGGAACAGAGAAAGGAGAGAAGGATTGAGGTATGTAGGTGGGAGGCTGATTCATGTCTGCTGGAAGGAGAAATAGGATATCGAAGAGGTTGATGGGGGATTAGGCTTCTCTGTTGGGTGGGAGGAGAAGAAGATGGTGAGGCCTTAAGCGAATACACACAATGGCGGTAGTTTTTGTTTAAAAGAAAAAACATTATCTAACAGATGACACAAATCCTTATGTTAAAAGTAAGCAATCACCAATGACCAAAAGGTGCCATTGCCGCTAAGACTTTTGAAAGCAAAAGTAGGTTTACTGGTCATCTTTCTTCTGGGGCTTTCGATGTTTCTCCCATTCTTGGCACCACTGCAAAATGGTTTGAGTCTTGCGCCGCCAAATCTTGGAATAAGCATTCCTCGCTAAACAATCATATGCCAGGGGAATATTCGGCCTTGCCCCAAAGTGCAACTAGCCGACTTTGAAAACACTGATGAACATGGTATTTTTTGATTCTTGCCTCATTGTTTTTTCTTATTTCTTTGTAACATGTTCATTGATTTATCATGTACCACTGTTATGAAGAATGACGAAGGTGGTAACTCTGTATTCACTGTGCTTCTCGAGGGTATAGTAACAGTATATTGGATGATATTGAAGGAGCAGTGGATGGCAGAGTGAACACAGACAAGGTAATTTACAAGGAACATTCAGAATTTTATATTGCTAGGCTTGTTTTGTTTCACCTCTGCAATAAATGCTAGTGTATGTATAACTTTTTAAAAACTTAGGTGTCTGAACCATTGAATTTATATCTTCGCTATCATGATCGCTTTCATTTCAGGCAACAACTGCTAGTGTATGTATACTGTTCTTGGAGCTGCAGCTACTGAATTGAGTGAGCTAGGAGAGTAAAGGAGTTATATTTTACAGAAACGGAACATTGTCATTTTCAGGCAGTGTGCATTGGATGGCTGTGTTTCACATTCAGGTAATGTGCACAGACGTCGTATTTTGCTCACTTTCAGTGATTTCATATGCAATATGCCTGTTTAGTTTAAAAAATAAAATATAAATAAATAAAAAAATATGCAATATTCCTTTTGAGGTGGGTTGGCCATGAGTGAAATAACGAACTAAAGAATCAATGATGTTGCAGATTGGACCAGTATACTGTAGCAAAATTTGCCGAAAGCTTTGACACTATGCCTAAATTTCTTGAGAAAATTGCTGGGCTTAATGCAACGGAGACCATATCTTCTATATGTGCTGAACATGCATCAGGAAATACCAAAGTTTGCCTTGACTAAGTAGGCTGTTCCTTGTCTTGTAGCAGTTGATGCTTTTGTATGAGAGTTTCCATTGCATTGTATGTTGTTAGAGCTGTGATGCTTTTATGTGATATTGGTTCTGAAGATTATTTCTTGTGCATTAAATTTTGGTCTAGGATTTGTCTGTATGTTGTTACGCTGTGGTGTGTGCTTGCTGGTAAATGATTCTTGAAGTGTCGGTGGTAATTTGGAGTGCTAGAGCCTTCTTTTCACCAAACGGGTGGCTGTTTTGGGAGTTTGTTTTGCTTGCGTATTGTGCTGCTTCGTTTTGCTCAGTGCCTGCCTTTTTTTTGTTTTTAATTTTTGTGGCTTAGATTGTTGCTGCTTCTCAGTTCATACAATCACAAGGTTGTGATAAGTATTTATGAATCCAGTTTACAATCTCTTGCCATAGGGAGTTGTGTATACTCTCTCGCTGTCACGTTTCATAGTAACTGTGATATCGCATACATAGCATCGATCAAGTGCAGCTTGAAATCCACATCCTTTGCCTGCTTCTTCAGGATATCCTTGAGGCGGCCGAATTCACCGGCAAGTGAAGATATCTGGTGCTTGTTTGCTTGTGCTTTGGTATGAAACTCTGATTCTACATTCTCAAGAACGATTTCGTAGCAGGGAATTGATGCTCACCACTGTAACTATATGCTAACTGAAATTGTAGGAGAGATTGTTGAGGATGAGGATATGCAGAGGGGGTATGTCCAAACCACCATAGTCCGTTTGATTCGGTTTGATTCAGTTTCGATCAATACCACCATTGAACCCAAACCAAACTATTATTATCGGTTGATTCGGTGTGTTTGAACCTATTTCTCTCACATCAATGGATAATATCTAACATTTCAAGGGTTTTAATTTTCTAAACATCTATACATCTCGCACATTCTATAATATGTTAATATGTGTATGGTTAGATATTCAAATAATCTATAATATGTTCACATGTGTAAAATAAAAATAATGATAATTAAAAAATAATAGTTCGTTTCAGTTTGGTTTTAATTAGTTTCAAAAGTATCAAAATCAAACCAAACTGATATAAAATCGAATGATTTTAAATTAATTGATTTTTTTTCTTAGTCAATATCAAACCAAACCGACCAAAACAGTTCGAATTGGTCGGTTTGAACGGTTCGGTCGGTATAAGACCCACCCCAAAAGAAACAAGTTCAAAAATTCAAATAAAAATTCTAGGGTAAAAGATTGTTTACTACCCTCATGTTTCGTGGTTTTCAACATTTAGTATATTAAGTTTTTTTCGTCTCAGAGTTATACCTAAAGTGTGAATTTTGGAACAGTCTCATACATCCGTTAGTCAAACTGTTAAATGTGCTGTTAATTGTGACATGGCGTCCATGTGGACAATGAATGGGCTCCACGTGTCAGCCACGTTTTTTTTTTTCCTTCTTCTTTCTTCTTCTTTTTCTTCTTCTTCCTTCGACTGCAACTTTTTTTTTTCTTCTTCTTCCTTCTCCTTCTTCCTTCCTCCTTCCTTTTCCTTCTTCCTTCTTCTTCCTTCTCCCTTCTCCTTCTCCTTCTCCTTCTTCTTCCTCCGAATCTGGGGGAGTTTCTTTTTTTTTTCCTTCTTCCTCCTCCTTCCTTCTTCATTCCTCCTTCCTCCTTCCTCCTTCCTTCCTCCTTCCTCCTTCCTTCCTCCTTCCTCCTTCCTTCCTCCTTCCTCCTTCCTCTTCTTCTTCTTCTTCCTTCTTCCTTCCTTTTATTTTTTTTTCTTCCTTCTTCTTCTCCTTCTTCCTTCCCCCTTCCCCCTTCCTCCTTCTTCCTTCTTCCTTCTTCCTTCCCCTTCTTCTCCTTCTTCCTTCCCCTTCTTCTCCTTCTTCCTTCTTCTTCCTCCGAATCTGGGGAAGATGAAGGTTTTTTTTGAGGAAGATGAAGAAGAAGGAAGAAGGAGGAAGGAGAAGAAGGGGAAGGAAGAAGGAGGAAGGAAGAAGGAGAAAAAGAAGGAAGGAGGAAGAAGGAGAAAGAAGAAAAAAAAAGTTGCAGTCGAAGGAAGAAGAAGAAGAAAGAAGAAAAAAGAAGGAAAAAAAAAGCCGAATCTGGGCATATTCGGAGGAAGAAGAAAGAAGAAAAGAAAAAAAAGTTGAATCTGGGCAGATTCGGAGGAGGAAGAAGAAGAAGGAAGAAGGAGGAAGGAGAAAAAAAAAAACTTCCCCAGATTTGGAGGAAGAAGAAGAAGAAGAAGGAGAAGGGGAAGGAAGAAGGAGGAAGAAGGAGGAAGAAGAAGAAAAAAAAGAAAAAAAAATCGAATCTGGGCAGATTCGGAGGAAGAAGAAGGAAGAAGGAAAAAAAAAAAAAAAACCTCCCCAGATTCGGAGGAAGAAGAAGGAGAAGGAGAAGGAGAAGGGAGAAGGGAGAAGGAAGAAGGGAAGAAGAAGGAAAAAAAAAAAAACCTCCCCAGATTCGGAGGAAGAAGAAGGAGAAGGAGAAGGGAGAAGGGAGAAGGAAGAAGAAGGAAGAACGAAGAAGGAGAAGGGGGAGGAAGAAGGAGAAGGAGGAAGATAAAAAAAAAAAGGTTGCAGTCTGCAGAAGAAGGAAGGAAAAAAAAAAACGTGGCTGACACGTGACGTCCAGTCATTGTTCACATGAGCGCCACGTCACAATTAACGGTATATTTAACAGTTTGACTAACGGATGTATGAGACTGTCCCAAAATTTACAATTTAGGTATGACTCTGAGACGAAAAAATCTTGATGTACTAAATGTTGAAAACCATGAAACATGAGGGTAGTAAACAGTCTTTTACCCAAAATTCTATTTGAACCAATTTATTTGCTAAACATACCCACCCGATTTTATTATGTTAAAGAAAAAATAAAATAAAATTGCTAAACATACCCCTTTCCTTTCCCCCTCGTGCAGCAACTGAAAGCCGTCTCCCTCCCACCTCTTTTCGCAGTCTTACTCTTCGTTGGCTTCCCCTCCCGCCCTCCGCCAGCAAGGTACAGGTAAAATTTTGAACTCCATTTTCTTGTCTAATTTTCTCGGGAAAATCTGGGTCCTTTCCCGAGAAAGTTTTTGAATTGCTCTGTTTGCAAATGTTTTAGGTTTGATAGACTTTGATTTACGTTGGATAAGGATAAACTCAAATCCATATACACTCATCAATTTGAACATTACTATTCGACACAGACAGAAGATGGCATTAAGGCAAATGCTATTCAACACCAGATCAATGTTTTCGACACCGGGGTTGGCCAGATTCTCCACCAAATCAAACCCATACCTAGGTAACCCCAAATTTTGGTCGCGTTTTCCTTTTTTTTTTTTCTTGGCTTCCAGAAAATGGATAGGAAAGAAATTTCTGGGTTATGTGCATTTGTTGATTTGCACTTGTTTAAATGTTAAAGAAAATTTCTAGTTAAGTAGCTATGTTGGTGTTTGATGCCGGAAAAAGTGGAAAGAAATGGGAAAATAAATCTAGGGTTAGTTTTTGTAATGCTTTTAATTTAGGTTTTGATAGAAATAAATATGCTTTTTTTATTTGATTAGTGCTTGTTGGGTGGTTTCGAAGGAGCCGTTGAGTGAGAAGTTTAGAATACTGGATGGTGGTAAAAATGGGTACGTCTGGTGCTGCGTATTATTTGGGGTATTTGGTGGTCATAAAGGAATCAACAGATATTTGAAGATGCTGGGGGATTGGAAATGGCGGAGGTGTGGGAAATAGTCTAGTTTTGGGAACTCTATGGACTTCTGTATTTCCTATTTATAAGATACACATCTATCGACCATTATACTACCATAAACCCTAAACTCTAAACCCATACAGCTATTTGAATTTTGAAGATTGTAGGGGATTGGAAATGGCGGAAGTGTGGGAAAAAGGTCAAGTATTGAGCAACGTTATGGGCTTTTGTATCTCTTATTTTTAGGAATATACCTCTATCAAGCATTATACTAGCTTGGATGCTAGGCTGCAGTGTCTTGATGTTTTAGTTTACTTATAGATTACTTGTGCATTACGTGTTCACTTTGATGTACAGCTTTTCTTTTGAAATAAATCATTTCTTTTCTAAAAAATATATAGAAGTGAAAAACTTTATTGGTCACTTCTCCACAAACAGTAAAAGGAATGGTTAATGAGGTTTGTTATGCTTGTGTTGCCACAGTTGTCTGGTTTCCGGGAAAGTTGGGGGATGTAAACAGTGTCAAGTCAAATGTTGAGTTTTGTTATTCAATGTTTCTTCTTTGTAACTATCTATTTTTGTGAGGAAATTTTCTCTACTCCTGGAAATTGAACTTGTGCTGTGTTCCTTATTTTCGCTTTGCAAGTGCATTATCTATTTGCTTTGCTCTCATCTGGTGCTAAAAGATTGAGAATGTTGAATGGAATGAAAAGTGAATATTTTTTGCGTATAGCTTAGTCTATAACTAGCTGTGTTAGGGCTAAAATAGGTGCTCTACATTCTCGTGTCAGAATATCAAGCACTTCTGTGAAATTGAAGCTCTGTTGAATAGTGGATTTAATTTAGTGGGAAACATCAAGATTGGGTTTGCGTGGCTTTTTTATTTTTTATTTTTCTTGCAGTGAAAGTTGGGATACCAGAGTTTTTGAATGGCATTGGCAATGGAGTGGAATCCCATGTAACCAAGCTTGAGTCTGAGATCAGAGACTTCCAAAAGTTGCTTGTCATTCGTACTCTCAGGCTGAAGAAACTTGGCGTCCCTTGCAAGCATGTAAGCAATCTCTTATTCTAACACTCATGCAAGCAATCTCTTAGTCTAACACTCATTGTACGGTATTAATAACTGTATTATTCAGCACCCGCTGGGCATTAACACAGTAAAGTATCTGTTTTTTTTATTTTATCAATTCTCGTAATTTAGGAATGTATAGCTGTAGTACCTACTTAACAGCAGTAAAGTTTCTGTCTTGCTGATTAATGAGTGTGGAACGAAAACCGTGTCTCCCTTTCTTTAAAAAAGGAATAAATTTCAAGGATTTGAAAGTTGCAAACTTGGTGTTCATTTCATGGTGAAAATAATTTCACTACTGCACCTGGACTTGTATTTTAAAATTTGATAGCTGGATTCTTTTGCAGAGGAAGCTCATCTTGAAACACACTCACAAGTATAGGCTAGGACTCTGGAGGCCTCGAGCTCAGCCCATCAAACCCTAGTTAGTTTAGGAGTAGCGCGTCCTTTACACAGATTTTGTCTGCTGCAAAATGTGACTGTCGGACACTTGATGTTCTGAGATTTGAAACAAGAGTTTTACTTGTTTGTTAGTCGTCCGTCTCCTTTATTTAATTTATAATGAAGTTTAGTGCTTTAGGTATTGTTTGGTATGCAGATGGGACGGAACGGAATGGGACGGGATGGGACCGAACGGAGATGGAGCAAAGATGCCCTCAGATGGAAACAAGGGGGAAGAAAAAGGAAACAGAGAGGTTATAATTTTGTGTTCCACGAATATGGAAATAGTCATTCCAGGGGGTGAAGCGGAACGAAAATTCATCCAAAATTCGTCCCATGGAACAACGCATTCCACCCATTTTAGGCGCATCAAATGTGCCTCGTCCCACTCCATTCCGTCCTGTCTCACGTACCAAACGGTACCTTAGTGTCTGATATACTGGATGTTCAGTTTCATAAATAACAATAATTTTTTAGCACATTTAATTACGTATTGCTCTTCGCATCTCTCATTTGTGTGGAACTCGTACGTAGAATCCTATTCGTATGTGTAAGAGATGTGATCTACCAATTTTCGGTACATGTATCATGAATATCTGCATGACTGAAAATTAAGCTCCGAGTGTTGTTCAATTGAAGCGTGCAGTTGGACCATGTTTTACGATACTGAGGCAGTTGGAGCATGTCTCGTAGTATCAACGTAGCATTCAAAACTGGACATTAAAGCATAAGAACATATTGACACTCATATGTTTCGATGCCCACGCCGTTCGATTGATTGTAACGAGTCTTTAACTGAAACGGTCACAACCAATCTCACAAGCTTGCAAACTCATAAATTTTCATATCTTTAAGCTTTCAAGGAAGGAGAGCCCCCAAAAACCCTACAGATGGTGACAAATTCTCGATTTAAACCCTAATCCCCCTAACAAAAGCCTACTAGGATAAGTACTCCAAAAGCTTGTACACCAAGGAAACCAAAACAGGAAACATCACACTTGAGCGACCAAAACACAATGTTTCATATGATAGTGTACTTGAGCTCTCAACATGACAGATTGAGAAACTAGAAATTTCATACGGTAGTAGACTTCCACCAAAAAACCGTAAATTTCTCCAAAAATTAGACTAGTTTAAAATACTAACTTGTATAATAAAAAACAAATTTATTAAAAGTAAATAACTAATTAGAATTAATTAGAAGAAAAAAAATCAACGTGGTTTTAAATAATTACACGTGTATTGAAGGAGGCGGCTTGGACGGATCTACCCCTCTCACACACGCGAGAATGATGAGCACCATTGAAGTGAACACACATTTCAAAACATGTGTATGGCTTCAATTGACGAGCTTGCAAAGGTACCCTAAGGCCATCTCCAATTGAGGACTGGTCAGATGGCTCGTTTTAGCCATCTGATCCTCAAAGATATTAATATTTTAATAAACAGTACAAGGTTATATTTGTCTCCGTCTCCAACCGAGAGCCAAAGGCCAAACGTAATTTATTATTTAAATTTAAAAACTACAACAACTTAAAAATTTAAAAACTACAACTTATATTTAAAAACAACTTAAATTTAAAAACGATAAATTAAATTTAAAAACTACAAATTAAATTTAAAAACAACATTAACTTGAATTTAAAAACTACAACAACTTAAATTTAATATCCACAATCAACATCATCTTCACCATCCGCCATTGTATAATTTATATGTTGGTTAATGTTATTTACTATTGTTTCATATTGTTTCATGTTACTTAACTTAATTTAATGCTGTATAATTTGTATAAATTTTTTTTATATCTTCGATGTAGAACTCTATCTTACATCTGTTCTCTAACACTAGAAACCCCTGTACTTTTTGGTCGATTTCAAGTTAGTATGAAGGATTCAATCTGAACACATCAAAACTTCAGTGGTAAAATTCATGTATTGTATCGACTGTCTAATTCTTCTCTCTTTTAAACAAGTCTAATTACACCGAATGAATCTTAAGGTACAGCAAAACAAAAGAGGAACACAAAATATAAGCCTGGCACTACAAAGTTACAAACCCTATCCTTCGGATAGCAAACAATAAACAATGAGGCAACTAGGAGAGAGATACTCTGAAGCAGCCTAAAGAATAACATTTTTACAAAAGATACAAAAAGAGGGAGATGTCGAAAGCAATAACATCACCTTCTCATCTCCTACGCAGGTCCAAGATCGCATCCATTTCTATTTGTGCAGGGTTTGACGCGCTTGGATTGCCGAACTTCTCAAATTCTCTTGCAATTTGAACATCACAAGGTCTATAGTACTGATACAGAAACTTTACAACAAAGCGTGGAGCGATTGCAGCTGTGACGATTGCCAACAAACATAACCAAAACGATGCAGTCTTTGCGACTTGAAAAATGGCCCTGTCAAATTATATTGGAGTTGCAAAGATTAGCATATACAAATGCAAGTGCCATCTATAATAGAAAATTTCAGAAATGCATGTGGGGAGCTTCTCAAAGCACAATAAACTTGTTGGCATTTGTGACAATGACTATTTTCAGTTCCAGTTAAAAAAATTACATTAATAAAGTTGGTGATGGCGATTTCTTAGATGGCGATTTCTTAGATGGCTTTTTCGCTATTTCTAGGAGAGGGGAAAAAGATAACGAATATCATGTCCTACCATGAGCTGCAGATAATGAGTTTAGCACTTCATGTAACCAAAGAAAAGGGTTCATGGATAGAAACCAAGATGTAATACTTCTAACAGAGTTTTTCATTATGTAAAGCGACTTGAGACTGTTCGTTACTAGGAAAGTTTTGAAAGAGATTCAACAACCCCGATGTATTTCAGATAATTTTTTTCTGGAAACGATGTTTATTTTGGGAATGGATTGCAGAAGCATGAATTCTGCCTACATTAATATTTGGGATAGATGTACTGTGCCTCCAATGCAAAGAAACACTTGCATTTAATTATTTGTTGAAATTAGTAAGCAATCATGAACTAACTTAACATCCAGTTTTGTGTTCTTTATTTGACTCTGTATTGTGAGCTATTGCACTTGCACTAATTGAATGAGTGTACGAGTTTGAGAGGACCTATATATCATGATATTGAATCTTTTGATCATTGCATGACATAAAATGCAACATAAATGCTTGCCGCTGCTTCTTATAGGGTGTCATAGTTTAAACAAGTTAGAAGCAATTATGTTTGTGCAAAAATAAAGATATACATGCAATACTACGATTAGAGAGCATACCAGTAGCCAACCAGTGAAGGTATAGCATCAATGACAATGACACAAATCCAAGTCGCAATTATAGATCCCCAAATTGATGCATGTGTAATCCAATTCCACCGGATAACATCCATAGCCAAATGAAAATTAACCAAAATTACCACTGCAAGTGTCCAAAGATCTCCTATACTTGATGTATCAATGCTGCTGCCCCAATACGCAAAGAGAGGGATAAAGAAGACAGCCAGACTTTGCCACAATGTGTCACCGATCGTTAACCAAAATAATTTTGAGTTGTAGCATTCTTGTCTCTGACCAGCTCCGTATAGCTGCGGGTAATCTAGAAGTGTCCTTCTACTTAGGTCCTTGTCAAGAATCCCAACAACAATTGTAGGTGCTGCAGTGTAAATTATAGAATACAACATGCTGCTCCATTCAGTGATCGCAGTTGTCAAACTAAAAGAAGTGAAGAGCACGTACCTACACAGACCACATGAAATATAGTCAGCTAAAATAATAAGAAAGACTTCATACAGATTCTTCTTTCTTTTATTTTCCTTTACTGGTTAGCTCCATTCAGTCCTCCCCTTCAAAAGAAATAATAATAATAATAATAATAATAATAGTCACACCATGATCTATACGTCAATTATAATTTCAAACAGATTACACTTCGGACACAGAGACCTATTTTGGCGCAAATGTATCCAAATCTGACTAGCTTCATACTTTTAGCATCACGTTCAAATGTCATTTCCACAACATTTCTAGCTAGAAATTAGATGATGAATTTTTTTTTTTTTATGGAAGCCAGAGATTCTTCCTCTCAATGACAGTGAGTTCTGACATAGACAACCATGTGCAATCCTCTCCCTAGTATTTTGTTTATTTAATTTTTAAAAGAAAAACAATGTCCAAGACAAAGTTCAGGCTCAAGGAAAACAATTGTAATCTGCAGAACAACCACACAGTGTAACTGAAAATTTATCTGACGAAGAATTACTCACCAAAACAAAATCAGAACAAACACTGCATTCCTATAGAAATTGTATAATATCATATAGCCCATCCGCTGGTAATTCCAATGACCGTGTACCAATAAAAGGGGAACTAAGAATCTGAACTGCCCCATTGCAAAATCGGATGCCATGACAGCTTGCCGACCTTCTTGGCCACTGATGCCAACTCCCACATCAGCCATTTGGATCATTGAAACGTCATTAGCACCTATCAATATAACAAAAGAACCTTCTACTGTCAACACCAAATGTAAATGAGAGTGGGCATATACTAATTCTGGTATTGGAAACATAAGATATCTACAGAAGTGAAATAAATAGAATAGCGTTTACCATCCCCAATGGCAAGTGTCATATCAGTCGTCCTGTTCTTCACAAGGGCTACAATTCCAGCCTTTTGCAATGGAGCCACTCGGCAACAAAGCACCACAGCACAGTTACTTGCTAGTTCAAAGAGCTACAGTAAAAATATGTTAGATCAGCATATAAGACATCATCTCAGAATAAATAAATAAAACACATATGGCATTGTCTAGATATGTAGAAAACTAAATAGGTAGGTCTAAAAGCAATTACCTTTTCCTCAAGTTCACTGTCAAGAATGTACACAAGGCTGGTGCCGTCAATAATTAAAGCTACTTGAGTTCCACCATGTCCAGAGTTTCCTCCGTCGGTGTGTGTATCTGCAGACACCGTCAGGAGCTTCCTAGACATTAGTACGGCATCCTCTAAACCCCTTCGACATGAATCCTTAGAGCTACTGTTAATTATAATCTGTGTCATTCTTCTTGTTAGAAGCTTTGAGGAGTAGCCGATTGATATGGCAGTTTCTTGCTTGTCCCCTGTCAAAATCCATACCTGAACCCCTGCTGTTCTTAGAGAGTCTATTGCTTCAGGCACCCCCAGTTGCAGTTTATCTTCAATGCCAGAGGCACCTAGTATAATGAGATTGTTTTCTATGTTGCCCGCAACATTGCGAAGTAGAGCAGCCCTACCAATTAAAGCAGTGCTTGCTTCCTCAAAAGACAAGTGCCACTGCTCGAATTCTGTAGCACTCAGTTCTCGCATGCCCACCACAAGTGTTCTCAAACCCAAAGAGGAGTAAGCATGAATATGGACTTCTGTTGCTCTTATTATATCCAAGTTCAATCGTTTGTCTATTACACTGAACATGGTTGTGTCAGCACCTTTTACAAAGACTTTGACAGTCTTATCAGGGCACCCCAATATAACCGACATTCTCTTCCGATCACT